TGTGGGTGTGTGTGTGTGTGTGTGTCTTGGTGTGTGTGTGTGTGTGTGTGAATGTTGTGGGTGTATATATATATATATATATGTGTGTGTGTGTGTAGGTGGGTGGGTGGGTGGGTGGGTGGGTGGGTGGGTGTGTGTGTGTGTGGCTGTGTGTGTGTGTGTGTGTGTGTTTTTGTGTGTATATTATATTTTTCCTGGCTGCTGTCGCGGTTGTCGTGGTTTGCAAGTGCCCCCAGTTGCGAAACCGAGATGATAGACAACTACACAGGAGTGGACACCCCACTCCTCACTCGTGGAAACCCCACTACCCACTAGGACTTGGGAGAGGCAAAATCAGGCAACTAGCCGCAACCAGCTGGTTGTTTGTCTGATGAGTATGTCTTCTGGTTAAAACATCATTGCACATCTGCATTTTCAAATTTGATGCGCCGAGTTTTGTTTGCTAGCTCAAAGAGTCCTCAAAATTCATGACGCCGCGAGTCGGTTAGCCAAATAGCAAAAATCCCACGCCCACAACCCTAAAACGAAGGAATCCCACGCCCCAAACCCCAAAACGAAGGTATTTTGAAAACCAATTCATCAGAAAGGGGTGCCCGTTGGCAAACAGCACGAGAGAGCCTCAGTCCCAATGTACCCCCCTACCACCCCCCCCCCCAACATCTCCCAACCAAAGGCCGTCGGCAGGAGCTTCTCCTATGCCAAGCTCTTCAGCACTAGTACTCCTTGGCACTTCTGAGTCAAGTGCTCAGCTCCTTGAAGCCCCAAGAAGGTTGCCCGACAACCCGGGAATCTGGACACTCTTTGATTTGGAGGTCCTCTCTAAGGACAAGTTTGCCAACTTGAAGAAGGCTGTGGAGTCGTAAGAACTTTTCGCGCGCGAGCCTGCAACATCGAATTGCATGGGCCCCACTCTGAGGTGGAAATCTGGGAATCTAGGGGGCCCGTTCACCTGACAATCTGGGCCCTCGCAGCCGCAACATTCCGCGGCTATTTAGAGGGTACGCCGCCAGTGCCGAGGATGTGAGGTCTGGGGATTCCATGGGATTCCCGATCAGGGTCAACTCATCAATCCGGAACAAAGGCGGACTGGCACCTCCTGGCTGGTCTTGGAATCTTTGGCAGAATCTCGCAAGGTCCATAAAGTCAATGATATAAAACCTGCGCGTTCAAACATTATGCAGCCACTTTACACAGCTAGGCACGAGTACCAAAAGTACCGGACAACGGTCTCCTTTCGATGGGGTGAGTTGAGCATCATGACGATGTGCAAAGGTGCAAGATGCGAAACACAAAGGCCACCCTACTGCAAGTATCAGAGACATAGAAACTTAGTTGCTGAGTTCGTAAGCCCCAAAAAATGACACTTTCAGTTCTATACGAGATTATAGTATGCCAAAAAGTGTAAAGTGTACCCACTCAGCAACTAAGGAAACCAAGGCGAAAGGAACAAAGGATACAGTACCATCACAGGCCAATGTATAACGCACGCAGTAAGACGGGTGCCGTCCAAGGGCGGGCCGGGCGGGCAAAAGAAAGTTTCATGCATGCTGCGATTGCATGAAAAAGCGATGCCTGCTGAGGAAAGAGGCTGCTATGCAAAACAGAAGCATGGATTCTGTTAAAGCGTACATAAGTTTGGCAAACAGGGCTGAGTAAAACACAACTAGCCTGGATCAGCTGCACATCTCACAGCTGATCGTGTAAGGCACTGCTGTTGCCACACGTCGACACCAAAGGCCTCATCGCTTGGCACGACAGCTGAGCCAACAACGAGCTTAGCATCACAAGAAGCTAGGGTCTGCGGCACATCTCGCAGCTGAACCTGTACTGCACCGCTGTCACCGCCACGGTCGGCAACACGTCGCCACAAAACCACTGATCCATCAATCAAGATTGCAGCAAAAGGCTGACCAGAAGCTTGGATCTGTTGCCCTCATAGACCTGTGCCCTTACCGCAATGCTGTCGTCACCACAGTCGGCATGACCTCATGTGACCAATGATCCAGTAACGAGGATTGCAGCAGTTGAAAGCACACAAGCTGGAGTCTGCTGCACATCGCACAGCTGACGCTGTACGCCACTGCCATGGCCACACGAACCGGCGCTGCCCCTAAGTGACCACAGATCCTCAAACAGGATTGCAGCAGATGCCCACCAGAAGCGTTGATCTGCCGCACATCTCGCAGCGGATCCTATAAGGCACTGCTGTCGCCACCAAAGTCGGCATGACTTGGTGCATCCCACCGTGGATGCTGTACGACATTGCTTTCGCCACCAAAGTAGGCACTGCCCCAAGTGACCACACGTCTGCGCACCGGATTCAGCGAATGCGCCACATGAAGCTTGGCTTTGCTGCACATCGAGCAACTGATCCTCTACCGCACTGTCGTCGCCAAAGTCGGCATCACCCGATGGAACCACTGAGCCAGCACCCAAAGTTGCAGCAAAACGCAGCACAAGAAGCTTGGATCTGTCGCACGACTCAAAGTTGATACTCGACGTAGCTGCTACCGCCATCAAACGACAGCGCTGCCCCCAAACGTCCACCGAGCCAGCACCCAGGACTGCAGCAAATGTACCACGCGCAGCTTGGGTCTGCTGTCCTCTCGCAACTGATCTGCTTACTCTCTGCTGCCGCCACAACATTGGCATCACTCCATGCGATCACAACAAAGCATCAGAAGCTGCAATTAATTGCCTCCCATTCGCAGCCAAAACAAGCCAATGAGGCGTAAGTCGCCGCAGATGCAGCATACGCCAGGACACGCCAGGTGATTCCACACGCATCGCCACCCTGGACTTCAGCAAATGCACGTAGTGAAATTTGTCGCTGTTGCAGGTCCAGGGCAAGGCCATCCACCAACTACCAGAGCTAGCTTGCACGGCCGAAGGCCCTAGGCTAACGTGTCCAGATGTGAAGAATGGAAGCAAATGCAAACTGAGAAGCTATGTATTGTGTGAAGTCGACCCAGACCTTTGTGAAAGCACAAAAGAAAGCTTCACGCATGCTGCGGCTGCATGAAGAAGCGATGCCTGCTGAGCAGAGTGGCTGCTATGCAAAACATAAGCATGGATTCTGTTAAAGCATACATAAGTTTGGTAAACAGGGTTGAGTAAAACACAACTACCGCCGTTGAGGGACTAAAGCTTTACGGTAGGGTCTATACCCGTCTCATATAGAGTCAGATAGAGCCAGGGGTATAGTTTTGAGAGCACCGCAAAAGGGCTCCAACGCTTTCTGACTGCAAAAGGGCTCCAACGCTTTCTGACTGCTTGTTGCATGCAACGAGTGAAGTCTTGTAGCGGCTCAAACAAGTGGTTCGCGCATCAAAGCACCTGCATAAGCACTATTTTGGACACAGTCACACATCCTTGGCTCGATTCAGCTGAAGGTGCTTTGTCACATTAAGCCCCCATTTGGACGCCTCCAGCCGACCAGCCATGTCAAGGTATAAGGAAAAACCTATACAGTTTCTACAGTACGCATGTGTTGACTCGGCGAACGCACGCACTTTGCGAGGAACGTGTCCCAGCAATGGCAGCCTGGCAGCCTTGGGCTAGCAGGCGCGAAGCCGTTGCATGTCAACGCTCAATTCCCACCCATCTTAATCTTGTCCATTGCCGTGAACAAGCTCGGACATATGTTCAGGGTGCAAGAGGCGCTGTGGCATTTGACTTGCTTCCGCAGGTTTTCGTGAGTCTGCTCCAATGATTTTGCATCCAGCATTGCACAAAGGCACATCACGTGAATCACCTCGGTCTCCTTCTTTCCATGGGGATTGTTGGCATGCACGCACCGTTTATACGCTGCACTTGCAAGTCCGGCACCAAGGGGGCTTCCTTGGAAAACAGCCATGTTGTTGCCAGAAAACTCACGAAAGTCTCGGTGAGTGAACTTGTCCTGACCTCCCAAATCTTGGCTTTCATCACGGCTTCCAAGTTCCTTTTCATGGCTGCCATGGCTCATTGCCGCCAGCAAGCTGGGACACACCTGGAGAATACAGTCGGAGCCACCTTGGACATCGTGCTCGAATTTTGTGCACTCTTCCTGCTTTCGAATGTTGCCAGAAAACTCCTTGGCCGATTTCGCATCCAGCGCAGCACAGCGGCAAACGTGTGTGACCACATGAGTCTCAATCTTGCCGGAGGGGTCATTGTCGGCCACGCATTTGCGATAAAGTGCCTTAGCGAGCCCCTCGCCCATCGGGCTGTTTTGGAACACGCCCTTGTCGTCGCCGGACGCGCCTGGAAGGAATGACTGACCTCCATCCGTAGTCCGTTGGCTTGTGTCGTGGCTGTCGGTGCTTGTGTCGTGGCTGTCCTGGCTCGTGTGTGTGTCATGTCTGTCCCGGCTGCTGTCGTGGCTGTCGTGGCTTGCAGAAGCCCCCGTTTGCGAAACCGAGATGATAGACAACGACTTCGGCATCTTCGGAAGGAAGTCACGCAAGCTCCACATGTTTTGTATCTTGAAGGAATTCACTTCTTGGACCTGGCCTTCAGCATGTGGCACTGCGCCGCGCAGCAGCAGCACCGTTGCTGCCACCAGGAGGGCGCCCACGAGCAACAATGCACCTTTTCGCTTAAGGCTGGCCCTGTCTGCATCTTCACCTTCGTTCTCCTTGAGTTCGCGAAGCAGCTGTCGGTTGTCCTCAATGTCGAGCCCTGCTTCGCCGTGCACCATGGTTGCAATTGCAACGGGTCTGGCAATCAAGAAACAGTTGAGGGCAAGAGCCAAAAGCACTGTCAACCGAGCGACGACAAATTACAGCGGCGTGTTTCAAGTAACGCACAACCCACCAGCAGGAACAGAACTTCCTGGACCCCAGGACAGATCGCACCAGGCAAAGCGTACAACAATGGACGTGCTCAGTTAGGGGCCTTCCCACCGCTGAAGCTTCCACCTAAAGCTAAAGATGCACAAAATTCAACATAAGCTGCTTCCACGCAGGCCCACGCTTCGCGACTTGGGCGCAGTCACATGGCCCATTTTGTCCCCATTTTAGCCCCAAAAGGATGTTGGCACCATTGAAATTTCAGTTAGGCCCCACTTCGGCCCCATTTCGACCCCATTTCAGACCCATTTCGACCCCATTTCGGACCCATTGTGACCCAGTTTGTCCCTTGGCTTCACTTGGCTTCACTCATAGCTCCCGGCGGGGTCGGAAGCATGAAGGTTGAAGAAAGTACCTGGACGCAGAGACGAGGGGGCTTAGGGCCACACATACAATTAGAGTAATCCTACCCTGCACAGTGCTCGCACGATGCTCAACACTTGCAGACGCTTCCTGCTACGCTAGTGATAGTGGCTTTTTTGGGTTAGTGGGTTTACGGTTATTCGGGCTTAAAACTGTCCGCCTGCCGCAAAAAGGGCCTCCACACTGGGAAGTTCCTTCAACCAGTAAAGGCAGCTTTGAATGGAGCAGAGGGTCGTGTCGTGGCCTGCAAACATCATCGCCACGCAGAAGTCTGAGAGCTCGTCTTCGCCGTTCATTTCATCTGCCTGCCTCGGTTGCGCTGAGCCTTCGCAACCGCCCTGAAAACCTCATGGAAATTCTCAAGAACAATGAACCCTAAACCCTAAACCCTAAACCCTGAACCCTAAACCCTAAACCCTACACCCTAAAGCCTAAAGCCTAAAGCCTAAACCCTAAACCCTAAACCCTAACCCCTAACCCCTAAACCCTAAACCCTAAACCCTAAACCCTAAACCCTAAACCCTAAACCAAATCATTCGAAGCATCCAGGCCACAGCATCGTGTCCAACATGGTGTTGATTTGAAACATCCGGCATGGATCCTTGAGTTCTTGCGTTTCTTCTCAATGAGATCTTGGAATTCTTGGACCAGCGCTTCCCGGGCCTTCATGCATTGATGGAACGGGAATCCAGGGATGTCCAATGGCAAGACATAACCCAAACCTTTGAAGGTCTCTTCGAAGAGCTGCATGAAACGATCCCTTTTGGGCCCACCGTTCTCAACTCCCAGAATCACAGCCTCACCGCACTCAAAAGCATATTTCGTAATCTCCAGATGCAGATCCCTCGATGTAACGACCTTCGACGTCCAGCCAAAGCTGCAACTGCTTGGCAGACAACCTCTGCAGGCATGGCAGATAAGAATCAAGCTGTCGGTCGACAAATGCCCGCGAGCTAAGGGTACGAATCGTCTTGTGGAGCGGGTCATTCACCATGGGGAGGGACTTCAGGCCAACTAGCTGTCGGAAGTGTAACGGCCAGGCCAGGTTCTTCTCGGAGAATAAAAGCTTGGTGTTGGCGTCAGTGACTGCCAGAATCACAGTTGGCGAAAACAGCAAGTGTGAGCTGCAAGTGCCACCGTATTGTGATAGCTTGCCCTGGCGCGTGCAAAGCTTACAGGATGGCTGCGAAAATGTTTCGGCTAGATTCGACTTTCAACATGTTTCTTGCCCACTTGAACACATGCTACCCTCCCTCCTCAATGAAGCCCAGCGGATCTCGGACGTAAGCCAAAGTCTCTCCCAGCACTGGCAATGACCAAGAGCTGCCGGGCGGGAGGCGCCGCCAGCGCCGCTGTCGCCACAACCACCAAGCTGATACTCCGGCAGCCACGATGGCAGCCAGCAGGCTTTTCTGGGACGTTTGCGGCTCCATCCGCTGGGTGGCACTGGTGCAGAAACGGACTCTTGCCGTGGGGAGGCTCCGTACCCACCTGGACGAAAGCCTGAAAAAGTGTTCCGGAAAAAAAAAGCTTGATACGCCACGCCAGCGGGTGCCAAAGGGGGCTTCTTGAATCTGATCCGGGTCTGCGACTTTGGTTAACATATGTGGAAAGGATTGCCGCGAGTCCGGTTGTGGAGAACTAGAAGGTACGATGGTAAAGCAAAAACATGACTTTCATTGCCTTGAGGTTAACCCCCACGTATCCCTGCACCCCACTGTCAAGTGGCGGTGCACGGCTCAGCCCATGGATTGCCGTGGTGTATGAAACTGTTGGTCTGACATGTCCCTCGGCACGATTTGGCTCCACGGTGTTAAACGACCCTGAAACGCTTGGGCTTTAGCACCCCCCCTTCCAATATGGAGCGGCTTGAGATTCAGCATGGCAACCAAACCCGCAACACCCTCTTCGACCTGCGAAGAACCACCACTGGCAACGGACGACCCTTGCAGCATTTCCGAATCCTGAAGGTCACTCCCACAACCTCTTCTGCACTTGCCCCCGATGGGGTGGGTTAGGCCCTGTGCACGTCGTCAAATTCTTCGGCCTTTGTGCTTCTGTGTACTGTCTCTGGAATTCCGGGCGTTTGCTTGGATGCCCTAGTCTTCTGCGTGCGCACCACTCGAACTCGTGGTTTCTCGCCTGTGTTGCGACCCACGGGTCTTCGGCTCCCACATGGGAAGATGTGGCCGGCAACATGTCGAACAGCGATTGTTTGTCATTCTGACTGGCCGCGTCTACTTAAGTGCTTCCTGCGCCGCAGTCCGAACCCTCACGTTCAGTCAACACACACTGCATATAACGTAGGAATTGGGGCAGTTGCTTTGCTTTAAGCGTGACTCGCCACAATCCCAAAACGCTAAAGCCACAATCTTTGCACTTAAACCTAAAACCCTTGAACCCCTAAAAGCCACCAAAAACAACAAACAAACCCGCACTCCTCAGCCCAGGCCCTTGGAGCCTGGGATCGGACTCCCCGGGCTCCAAACCTCTAAGCTCTCCAGCACAAATGGGTGGCCACTTGGGAACTTGGGCTTCTGGTTCAGGATGCTCGCTGTGTTTTTCATGTCGCTTGCTTGCTTCCCCTCTTCCTCCTCCACATGGGGCACCAAGAAATCCACTTACAAGCTCGAGCTCGATCGGGGTTTCGAGTGATCCCAATAAAAGCTCGAGGGCTCAGAACATTCAACCCTGAACTCTAAACCCTACACCTCTAACCTACTTAGTAGAATTGCGGCTCCGAAGGTGGTGCAAGCATGGATCCATGTGCACAAAGCAAAGCAGGAAAACGCACGGCACAGGTTTTGACGGTCATGTCAAGAACAAGAGGCCGGCTTGCGGTGTCTTGATGGGAAAAGCAGCCAGATAAAGTCTGTAGCAGCATATTGCTGCCTTTGGCAGCCACCAAGAGCAAGTTTCATGATTCATGATGCCTGTACTGTGTTCAGGGATCTCGACTCCACTGGGCCTCCTACTGGGCCTCCTTTCCTGGAGCCTCCTTCAGTCACCCGTGGACACAGGAACCGGCGCACCCATAATGGTAGGTGCGAAAGCATCGCTAATTTCAATTTGGCACTGGAGGCATTGTAGAGGTAGGCCCTCACCAAGCCGCTTTAGCACCAAGCTGTGCATGCACGGGGCGCAAATGCACTGATGTTTGCAGGTTAGCATCACAACCTGTGGTGTCATGACCAGACAACATGCACAAGCCGTTCCGCCCTCAGGTGCCGTGGTGGCCGAGAGCTTAGCCTTGGAGAACTCGCTGGCTCTCAGCATCCACCGTCGTAAAGTTTTAAGTCGCATGGATGTTTCTTCCTGCTTCCGTAGCTTCTCTTCCGAGATCTTGCGTGCTGCCATTTCCTGGCGCAACATGATGCACAGGTGGAAGCACCCTATCACCACACCTTCCACCAACCAGGAGTTGAAGAAGCAGAAGGCCGCAGCCGCCAAGGTTACCTTAGCGGAACCGGAAAAACATCCCGCCATCTGCATTGCATCTTAAAAGCTACACAGCGAGCACGGATCAACAAGTTGATGAAACATGCCACAGCCACTGCAATCGACATCACTTGGCTTGTTGCCAGGCTTCCCATCAAAGCCAACGATGCAGTGCCCAACACACAGTCCCACCTGAACTGCGTGCTGGAAAACCATTGGAGTTGATCTTTTGGCCAGGACCCCATCGGTACAATTTCAACCGTCTTGCCGTGGAAAACATTAGCGAGGTTTTCGATATTCCAACTAGCTTCGACCTTGCCGCCTTTCACTGAGGTCACCTTGGATTCGAAGCACATGCCGACTTGACAAGCTTCGACGAAACATGGACACTTTGGCTTGCACCGACAGTGACGTCTGGCAGCTAAATTAACAACACAGTCTTTAACATCAGCCCACTTCCAAGCTACCTTCCCTGTCAAAGCTGCACCGTGGAGATAGTTGCCGGAGGGATCCTTGACAGTTTCCGATAGAACGCCCAAGACAATGTCGCCTTCCTTCAAGCGCTTCGGCACGTTGGGAGGAGCGGACAGCTTGCCTTCTTCTTGCTCGGTTGTCATTGAGATCCTACCCAACAATTCTGGCAAGCTTGGCTCGCGACGCAGGTGGTAACACTGCGGGGCACTGGCAGAGCGGCGATCAAAGCAGCAGCCACGCTGGCGGCATTCAGCAGGAGTGATGCCCGAGAAACCGCAGTCGCTCCGAGCATCGTATGCTTGGGTCTGGCATTGCGGGGAGTAAATGTTCACACTCGAGCTTTTGGGCCAGTGCAGTGACACCGCAGGCTCCTTGGTGCGGATGGACAGAAGGGATGCACATTGAAGAGACTTGTAGCTGTTGGTGCTCATGTCAAAGTAGCCCCACACATCATGTGCAGTCTTTCCGAGCTCCGTGAGTGAAATTTCCTGTCCTGCTTTGTAGGCTTTGTCTTGAATTCGGACGCCATGCTTGACAGCATAGCCTTTCCCCGAGCTCAGTACCAGGATATGGGTACTCCAAGGATAGGCCCCAACCACCGTCTCATGAACCCGACCATCATCCGGAGACACCTGCCAACCTGAAGGAATGCTACGGTTGGATCTTTGGCAATGGTCTCCTCTGTGGAAGATCTCATGGTCCTCCAGGGTTGAGTAGAAGAACCCATTGATTGAGATTCGGTTTCGCCGCTTCCAGAAAGGAGAGTGGCACTGGAGCCTCAAAACGTAGGGACCGCTCAGGCTCACTTTGGGAAGCTGCAGCTCGTACTCTCCAGTGTTGGGGATGTTGGAAGCGCAGGATTCTGCCACAAGCGTGGAAGGTGACTCACCCTCCATGTGCCAAAAAACGTCGACAAATTCACATCTCCGCGTTCTGTTGACTGACCATCGTACTTGTGCAATCGAGCCACCAACGGACGAATCTGGCTCCCCCTCCCTGGACTCCCTGCTCAGAAGACGAACTTGTATGTCAGGGAGACGGCCACAAACAGGCACGGCGAAGGCAAATACGGCAAGAAAAGCCCTCATCTTGACGTGGGGATTGCCCAGTCGACCTATGTATCAAAGCCGCGGGGAAGCTTGAGTCAGAAGCCTTTCAACGACATTCCGCGATGCAGTGTGTTGACAACAGCCTTTGCCCCTCATTTTGCACTGGACCATGATCGAACTTTACAAGGCGAAGTCTCCCCAACCAACAGCCAGCTCCTCACGACTTGATTCAACCAACAACACGTTCGGAAAACTTACCCCAAGCGTATTTGTTGTTGCGACAACATGCCAAGCGATTCTACGATGCATCATCTGTGAACGAGGTGCCTCCTGTTTTGCACAACCTTTGACTCCGTGTGCTCGCTGCCTGAAAGATGTACTGGGGAGGCCCTTGTAAAGCAGCCAGTTTCGCAACGGTTTTACGGTCTGCAAAGTGGAGCCGTGAAGCACGTATTTTGTCAGCTTTTTGCTGCCAACGTGAAACAAGCGTTTTTGAAAGCCTCTGACAGTGCCGTTTGGACAGAAACGAGAGAGTTCAACTGTACTGCTGAGACGTCACTGTTGGGTGCGACGCCCAAACCGAACCGTTTTGAAAAGGCAACTTGGGTTTTTTGCCTAACGGCAACATGGGGGTGCGAAGCACTCTCCCGCTATGTCTGTAGCCTCCGAGAAAAAATTGCGCAAGAAGCAGAACAGAGACCTTACAGTTGCAGAATCCATCAGTTGCAGCAGCATAACAAAGTAAACCAAAACCTCCGGTCTCTTGAAGCCGCCAGCGTCAAGCGTCAAACCATTCACAAATATATAGAAGCCGCAAGGGTCAAACGATTCACAACACTATAGAACAACAAATATTCAGAAAACATACAAAAGCAAAATCAGAGACAAACAAAGAGCCAGAAAAGAGGTCAGGAAAAATACAAAAACAACGCAAACCAAATCAAAAACAGTTTTGCGCTCAAAAAATATTTCAACAATTTCAGCAACTACTACTGCTACTGCTACTGCTACTGCTACTGCTACTGCTACTGCTACTGCTACTGCTACTGCTACTGCTACTGCTACTGCTACTGCTACTGCTACTGCGACTGCTACTGCTACTACTACGACTACAACTACTACGACTACTACGACTGCTACTACTACGACGACTACGACGACTACTACTGCTGCGACTGCTGCGACTACTGCGACTACTACTACTGCGACTACTACTGCTGCCACTGCCACTACCACTACCACTACCACTATTTAGTGAACGCTGAGCGAGCGGGCTCTGCTCATTGCGGGCGATTTGCACCGTCTGAGCACCGAAAATTGGTTTGGAGCTAATGGTTAGGAGAGGTGAAACTGAATTCAACACTGAACAAGAAAGGTGAGACCTCACAGGATTTGGGATCGAACATAGACCGAGCTAGCTAGCTAAAGTGATACTAGGTGTAGCTTAGCGCTCAGATGTGAAAAAGTCTTCTCCCCGTCGTCCTAATGTGTTTCGCTGCGTCCAGCAAACACACACCAATCTGCAATTGGGTCGTACCTGTTGGCCGTCGCCCGTAGTGTCCATCTAGTGGCGTCCCACATGGATCACTGTGCAGAGAGGCAGAGGATCGTAGGAGCTCAGCTGACGGGGATGGCGCTTGAAGACTATGCAGCAGGTATTGGGCCGGTTACCTTCGACTGCGTGTTAGTTTCACTATGACCTCGGGATGAGGGCTTTTCCATGAGCCAGCTGGACGATGGCAGGCAGATGAGGCATGTGCGGGGGTCAGACTGGTACGTAATTCACTGCTGAGGTGAGCAATTGCGGAGGGTGTATCCCCTGTTTGTTTTTTTTGTTGAGCTAGCTGGGATGATGCAAGCGGGGTCATGGACTTGGTGTCGAATATTTGTCAGGAAATGGAGCGCTCATGGTGCAGGCTCTTCTAGCTATAACTGCAGTGTGTGCCCATACGGCAGTGTGGAGGGGGTGTGCTGCTCGGAGTCTCATGGACCCCGCTGGCGGTCCACCAGGGTAAACCACGCAAGGTGGCAATTCTGGTATCCGCATCTGTGTGGATCATTGACTGTGCTCTTTTACAGGCCAGCCACAACCCTATCTCGCTGGGAAGGATTGAGGAGGGCATGAGCATCAAGTGGGCTGCGATGAGCTGTGCTCATCTTTATGAACTGCTGCGCAGATCATGTTGCACTTCCAGCTGGGGCTCATAAGGGCTGTTGGCGCACGCTGTTGCCAAACAGTTTCATGTGCTTGGGCTCTACCTGTCGCATAAGCTACTCTGGCTTGATGATTAGCGAAGAAGGGCTCTGTCATGAGAACTGGTCAGTTAGCAAGTAAGAGCTAGCTGGGATGATGCAAGCGGGGTCATGGACTTGGTGTCGAATATTTGTCAGGAAATGGAGCGCTCATGGCGCAGGCTCTTCTGGCTATAACTGCAGTGTGTGCCCATACGGCAGTGTGGAGGGGGTGTGCTGCTCGGAGTCTCATGGACCCCGCTGGCGGTCCACCAGGGTAAACCACGCAAGGTGGCAATTCTGGTATCCGCACCTGTGTGGATCATTGACGGTGCTCTTTTACAGGCCAGCCACAACCAAATTTGTAACAGCTTCTGGGCTTGGGCAGTCTATCCGAAAAGCTGGTGTGTATGACTTACAGTGACTACTCGTGACCGCCCCGGCGTGCAATGGCTTGCAAGGCAGAGCGATGGGAGAGTGAACTGATGAGCAGAGATTGAGAATGGGAAAGGGGGGTAAGCGTTGGTTGAGCATAGAATACGGCCACGGCGGCTGTTAAGAAACCCTATGGCTGCAATGTAAGGGGCGCGCTGCTCAGAGTCTCGTGGACCCCGCTGGCGGTCCACCAGGGTAAACCACGCTGGGTGGCAATTCTGGTATCCGTCTTCTCCTCGTCGTCCTAATGTGTTTCGCTGCGTCCAGCAAACACGCACCAATCTGCAATTGGGTTGTACCTGTTGGCCGTCGCCCGTACTGTCCATCTAGTGGCGTCCCACATGGATCACTTTGCAGAAAGGCAGAGGATTGTAGGAGGATCAGCTGGCTCGGAATAACACATTTATGTGGAGCCTCGGGCAGTGGGCTTGCTGCCGGGAGGGCAACACGCAGATGTCACCTTGGGATGCAGGGGAAGGCGATTCAACTCTTTACGGTATAAGTTCGTTGATGCAGGGTGAGCAGTTTTCCAGCTCTGCGAGTTCCGCTTCGTAGCAAAGGAAGCAGAGCATTGTGCATGCAGACCCCAGGGGTTAGAACTGCAGTAAATCCCATCCTTATGTGCGTGGAAGGATGCGCTGCTCCGAGTCTCGTGGACTCGGCCGGCGGTCCACCGGGGTAAACCGCTCAATGCGGCAATTCCGGCATCCGCACCTCATGCTTTATTGCAACAGGAACGGTTGAGGCCAGCCACAATCCCTTCTACAATGAGTGGGGTTAATGCACCGTTACCGTTTGGGATCTCTGCGCGGCTGCTTGCCTGGAACTGCTCCTCTTCTCAAGAAAGAGTCCGGCACCCGTAGGTGCACCCTTGTGTGATTGGCGATGTCTGTATTTAGTTGGGCCAGCTTCCAAGGCAAAAGCAGCTTGACTTGAGCTCTGCTTCCTGATTCAGATGTAGGATTCTTTCAAGCGCAGGGTAAGGCAGCTTGCAGAGGTAAGGTGCTGGCAAGCCTGATGAAAGCATAACAGTTGCTGTTTGTTCCGCGAGCTGGCTGGTCTGAAGGTGTGGTGCTCGTATTGCTGTAGCTCAGGCTGTGCCCGCTGAGATGAACTGCAGTGCAGTTCATGTCACGACGGCCTGCCACTGATAGATTTCAGCAACTGCCTTTTCACTGTCTTTGGACATGAGCGCTTTGCACCTGCGCAGCTGGCAGTCCTACAGGCATAGCTGCTTGATTGGGACCTTAGACCTGGGCACCTTGCACCTGTGCACCTGACCTTGGGAGTCCTGCCAGCCTGGCTGCTGGATTGAGACCTTGGACCTGGGCATCTTGCACATGTGCACCTGGGAGTCCTGCCAGCCTGGCTGCTGGATTGGGACCTTGGGCCTGGGCAGCTGCACTGTACCCCAAAAACCAAAACCCCAAACCCAAAAACCCCAAAAACCCCAAGACCCCAGAAACCCCTAAACCTACCAAGAAGCTCACAAAGAAGCTGTCTTTGGTTCAGCGATCTGCGGCGAGAGGTTTATCGAGCGCTGACAGTGCGGGGGGGGGGGAGGGGGTGGGGGAGGGGGGGGGGGAGGGGGGGGGGGAGGAGGGGGGGGGAGGGGGGGGGGAGGGGGGGGGGGAGGGGGGGGGGAGGGGGGGGGGAAGGGGAGGGGGGGGGGAGGGGGGGGGGAGGGTGGGGGGAGGGGGAGGGGGGGGGGGGGGGGGGGGGGGAGGCCAGTTGCGACTAGTGATGCTCAGAGGATCACTGCATCGTCACTTGATGCTTCAGGGAATGTCAAAAAGAAGATGTATGAACCATGACGGACTTGTCTTTGATCTGAGTCCGTTGCCTTCAGTGATCGCCGGTGGTCGTCCGTCGACTGCCACTCCGATGTCGGTGTTGACCTCCAAATTGCGCGGTAATGTCCGCTGTGCGGGGTAGAGCCAATGTGAAATACGCAGGACTGCACGTATGCCCGTTCCAGGCGTATAGAGCCCTCATACAGTACAGGAACCCGGAGTTCTTGGCTGTAGGACGTGATGGGGAGGTGGTTTTTGCCCGAGCCTGTGAATCTGGCCACTGTGAAAATAGCGTGTTTCTGCTGCCCTAGCAGTGCGGTGTTTGGGGGTACCGAAGCCCATTCGTCGATTAGGAACTGCAGCGGCTTGCTTTCTGAGTGTTGCATGAGCATGACAAGGGGTCCTCCTTCCACCGCCAGTCTTCCTGTGGTTAGATCAACGGTTGCCCAACGTCGCGTCAGGGGTAGATCGGAAGCAGCCGTCAAAAAGCCTTGCAGGAACTCTGCCGAGTCTTGCTGCGCGCCATCAAATCTCCATCTTGGTAGCAGGCTCCTAAGCGGGAAGGAGTTGATGAGGTTAAGGGTGGGGGCAGCACTCGACTGTGCTGAGGAAGAGATGAGGCTCATTAGAGCTTGCAGCGACCGCAGTGAAGGGTCTAAGATGGTAGTGGCCAGCAGAGCCTGTATGGCTGCATTGACATAGCAGTAGTTAGAGGTGTTCTTGAATGCAAGGGTTGCCAGAAGAGAGGAAGGGGAGAGACAAAAGACATGAGAAGGATCGCTCTGAATCGCTTGCTGCATGACAGCTGGACCACTAGAGCCAAGCGAGGAAGGAGAAGACAGAGGAGGAAAGAGAGAGGAAGCTGGGGGAGCTGAGTCTTGGCAGTTATTGCTCTCTGCAGTCATTACTTTTGGGGAGGACTTTGTAACGGCTTTTGGTAAAGACTTAGATTTGGCCTCTGGCGGCCGTTGGGGACTGGCTGCTTTGAAGAATGATTGCAGTGGGCCAGTGGTGGTCCTGGTGATCTGCAACACTGAATCTCCTAGCAGGATCTGAAACAGAACTCCGCACTGCGCCGGATGCTTACGCCGATCAGTGACCGTCTTACTGCAGAAGGGGCAAGGTCTGCCTTTGAGGATCTCCGTTCCGAGCTTTTGACATTGTGTCATAGTGCAATCTTGCAGGGCATCCCAAATTCTGCGATGCTCCTGACGCAAGTGCGACTTGACCTTGGTATGATCAGGCGTCCAGAAACCACAGAGCACGCAGTGATCCACAAGGCGCTTAGAAGCCGGCTGCCGGGCTAGCTGCGTGACGGTATGCGTGCCAGCTGTGCTAGTTAGGTGTTCTCGTGACCATGGATGCACTGGTTCGGTCTGACCTGCCGCTGCACTCTCGTCATGGCGCTGAGCGTCTATTCCTCTTAGGGCTGCCGGCTCTCTGCAGGCGCCGGATAGAAGGTGGTCCTTCAGTCCTTTCCAGAGAGCGAAGTGTTTGTGACACGCTGCACAAGTAGGTAGGCCGTCCTTCGTAATGCTCTGGCAGAAAGTCGGGTGGGATATAACGATCCAACTCATCCCTGTGCATTTTGGCCTCGTGTATGTGTAGCCCTTGTTCAGTGGTAGTCTGAAAAGAGCAGTGTCTGCAGCAATGTCTAGGCTCTTCCTCTTCTTGGGTTACTGCTATCAAGGCCTCATACTCTGCAAGAACCTCTTGCGCGTACTGAAGAGCGTTGGGGAGCAGCGCAGCATCCTGATGGCCGTGTGGATGCTGTGCATCTCTCGGAGCCTCATGCAGTGCAGCAGGCCTTGTTTGGGTTCCCTGTCTGGTTCTGAGCGATCTGACTCTGTTGCTCTGGCGCTCCAGCAGCAGCTGGACGGGATCCTTGATGCCGTAGGCTGCATACAGGTGATGCGTCGATATGCCCGTAAGATGGACGGGTTTGTTGAGGACCGCCCTGATTTTTCTGGCGTGCCACCTTCGCAGTTGTTGCGCTGTCTCCGTTGTGAGCCCTATGTCCACTAGACCGGCCGAGACAGTCGCCCAAACTGTTGTGTGCCAAATCTTCAGTCTGCTTTTCGGACCTGAGAGTCTTCGGTTGTGCACATATCGTCGGACTTGTTGCAGCTTGGCATTGCCCTCCTGCAATCTAAAATCCAACGTCGCCTTTTCCTGGTTGCCATAGGAAACGTACACTCCAAGGTACTTAAAGGATGTGGACTGCGGGAATGATTCCTGGGCTTTTGTGCTCCCAATGCGCCATTTGCGGTGTTGTACTCCCTGGGCGTCTAGGCTTGTGTGACTGAAAAGTTTGTGTGCACGGGCTGAGGCAGTGCCTGTTAGCTTAACCATTAAGTGACACTTGTCAGCGTTCACTTTAAAGCCATATTTTCTAACAATGCGGAGAAGATCAGCTATCATGTTGTGTGCTTGCAGCAAATCTCTCCAGCTGGTGACAGTGTGATGAACAGTCAAGTCATCTGCGTAGCCTGTCAAGCTATGCAGCACGCGATCCCAGCCTACGACCTCTGCGAGTTCTCGGAATAGCTTTCCTGTCAGCAAGGAGAACAGGGTTGGAGCGAGTTTGCACCCTTGCTTAATGCCTGTTGTGGACTCAACAGAGCATGAGGTCTGCTGGGATCGTACTGTGTAGCGACTGTTTGAGTGCAGCGATGCCACTAATCCCTGGATGTCTGACGGTACCCCAGCTTCTTGAAGAGTGTCCATGAGGTCCTGGCGGCGAACCATGTCGAAGGCCTGTGATAAGTCGAGCGCAAAGCAAATCCCTCCCACCAGCTCTGGTTTGCGGTGTCCAGCATGCTGGGAGTGCCTGCTGAGCCGCGACTGTGCGCACATTTGGCGTACCTCTCTGGTGTGCTTCGAGACTCTGGAGAGAGCATCAGAAAGTCCTCTTTGAGGTTGGTAAGCGAACTGTGGCACCGACCTCAGGTAGCTGGAGGTATAGGGAGCCAGGAGATCTCTGCACGCCCCCGCCAGACCCTTGCCATCCGGTCTTATGATTCCAAGTGGGCGAAGATTAGAGGGCTTGGTTGGGGGCTTGTTGGGCTTCGGGATGAAGCAGAGGTCAGTGTCCTTCAGCTGTGCAGAGAGGATCACTGCCGAGTCCAGCGAGCTGTGCTCAGCTTTGCGGGCTTGGTCGTTGCAGTACGTTGCCAGGTGCTCACTGGCCGAGTCGGAACATAGCTTCCACGCGGCTGCCGACGCTGAGTTCTGAGGGACAGCCTTGTGTGGTCTGATGGAGCTGATGTGCTTCGAAAGCAGGGGGGCAGAGAGCGTTGGCAAGCTGCAGACCTCAAATTGCAGTCTGTCATGCCGTTGAAACACTGCTTTAGCATGGTTTTGCATGAGCTTGAGTTCCTCTTCTGCAGCCATCAAATAGCCGTCATTGTTGACTAACTGCGTTTTAGGCTGCGGCTGCCAGGGGCGGAGCTTCTGCAACGTCTTATGAGCCTGATAGGAGTTACCACTTTGTGTAGATTGGTCTACCTCGTGAGTGAAATCTGCTAGGCGTTGTCTACGTGCTCTTGTGACAGCCTGCTTGTGCCACATGGAGAGGTCCTGCACCAGTATCTCGTGATCTGCCAGGGATAGCGTTGAGCTGGCTAAGTCCTCATCCAAGGCTGTCAACCTGGCCCACATGCGCTTGGTTGCCCTGTGCATTGCATTGAGGGGAGGGGAGGAGGGCTTAGGGGCTCTTGGGAAGTAGCGTTCAGACGCCTTGATTAGCACATCATTAACCTCCTCCATGTCAACCGTGGTGATCTGAGAGAGCTGGTCAGCAACCCACTCTTTCATTGCTTGTGCTTTGGGATGATTATATCGCACCGCCTCTTCGAGAGCCTGCTTATCGTAGGGAGGGGGGGGGGGAGGGTGGGAGGAAAGTTGCCAGTGCCTTAGGGGGCGAATCTTAGCCTCGACCGGGTAATGACCGCCTTTTTTCCACCGTCCCAGCGGGAAGTCTGTTAGAGGTTTGCTCTGCTTAGATTCCCCACGCGCTAGTGACTTCGGGACAAGGATATAGTCTATTTGGGACTCTGAGGTGGCCGCGCGGAACGTCAAGCCCGATCCCGAGGACCATGTGTTGAGCGCCACAAGTCCATGTCCTTGAACGAGGCGTTGGAGGTATGCATCCTCTGCTGAGCGATGCGGCGGAGAACCTGGAGTGCAGGTACCTACGATGCCCGCACTTGTGCTCAGCGTAGAGTTGAAATCTCCTAGAACCACCAACGTGTCACGCTGCGGAGCTCCTCGGACCGCTTTGGATAAGGATGCAAGACACTTCGATCTGTCGTCTCGGTTTTGCTGGGCTGTTTTGGAGGTGGTCCAAACATGCTGATACACCGTCACTATGTGCACGCGTGCGCCCTTCCATTGGAAGACCGCTTCCAAGACCCTCCCTTTTTGGTGCTCGCTCCATCTGATGGTGGCTTTGGGAATGTGCGGGGCCGTGAGTATCATTACCCCGTCCGCCCGTTTGTCGTCGTGAACTGGCTGAGTTTGTGGTTGCTTGCCCGTCTGTGTCTCAGAGGCATGGTCGGGCACAGGTTTACTTTTTGCTTTGGGGGCTTTAGCCTTGCCTTTGTTTGCTGAGCTTATGCAGTGCCACCCCTCAACATCAAACTCAGTGCTTTCCTGCCAGTGCGTCTCTTGCAGGGCAATCACATCATACTGATCAGAAGCAGTGCGCAGCCAGGTGCGAAGCTCAGCCCATTGCTGTTGACCTAAGTGCCCGGCGTTCCAGGTCAGTACCCTCAGTGGTTTGGCCATGTTTCCACCTCTGGGTCGGGGCGCTGTGCGCCTAGCGGGGGGCGTCGACTGTGTCGACCCCTCTGTCGCTATTGGCAGGCTGGGAGGGCGCAGGCCGCTTCTCTCCACATATTCCGGCGTTAAGACCCCTTTCCTGTAGGATACACTCTGCTGAGTGCGTGAAACTAAAGTACATGCTCTCCTGAATGCAACTTTACGAATGCTCCGAAAATTGTCTTGGTGCTTCGAAGGTACCGCCATCCGCTAGTTTTTCCCCACCTGAAACAGGCTGCGTTTGCTTCGTGTGGGTACTCCTTCCACCTCGCGGAGCAGTGGAAACCCTCTCGCCTAAAGATCGCGGCTCACCATGGCTCACAGTAAGGCACAAGCTGTTACGTTCCCCTGAGGACTGGTTGAACCTCTGGGACAGCAGTTGCGCCCAAAGCCCGGTTTTCCAGGATGCAAGTGCCCGGCCGTCTGATCCGTGGCGGCTACCACTACCACTACCACTACTACTACTACTACTACTACTACTACTACTACTACTACTACTACTACTACTACTACTACTACTACTACTACTACTACTACTACTACTACTACTACTACTACTACTACTACTCCTACTCCTACTCCTGCTCCTACTCCTACTCCTACTCCTACTCCTACCTCTACTCCTCCTCCTACTCCTACTCCTCCTCCTCCTACCACCCCCTTCTACAACTACTGCGACGGTTGCTGCCAACCATGACCACTACGACACCACTACCACTCCAATTTTGACTGGACTTGTTGGCACTGACGGCTTGGCCTGCTACACGGTCTCCACCTGCATTGACCTGAACGGGCGCCTTTTCTACATCAGTAGCACAGTCGGCCGTTCTTGCCAGAACCAAAAACAAATCAAACCATGTTGGTGGCGCACACGCCGACTCAACTTCTGCATGCCTGGGATCAGAAGTTTCGATTGCTGGGCTTGGGCTTGCTCCTGCATCCTATAGCAGCGAAGCTGCCAAACTCCGGGTCATTTTAGACCCACTAAACTAAACTTCTTTGAAAATATTTCAACGGTTTGTGTCTTTCAAGACAATCAATCCAAGAGCAAATTGAAAAATGTCAAATGATTTTTTGAGTTTTTTGTGAAATGCATTTTTCATTTTTTTTGGCAAAGATCAATGAAAAAACTGGAACACAAGAATATGTTTAAATGATGAATTGACATAAAATGCGCGTGCAAACTTTTTCAAGTAAATCGACAAAAGACAAAACCCAAATTTTTTCTTGTTTGACGAGTGAGCCTTACTAACTTTTTGCAACTCTAAATCAACCAAACTGATCTGGCTCAATTTAAAAAATCAACATGTCCAAAACCATACAAAAACACCACGCCTGACAAACAAGTTTTAAAGTTGCGAATTTTAAAATTCATGCGTGCCATCTTGTCAGTCAGAGTGGAAGTTAAAAATATTTTTCGAACAAGAAGAAAAAACAACATGTTATGGTGTTTCAGAAACAAAAAATCAATTTTCTGAAAATATAATTTCTTTGAAAAGACTCTGAGAACAAGTTCAGGTTGAGACCGCTGCACAGAGCTGAACAACGACCCAGCGACACCTTAAAACGATGAAAATTGAACTTAAAACCTTGAAAAGTGCTGAAACCTGCGTTTTGGAGAATGTGAAAAAAAGTGCGCGGGAGAGTGCTTCGCACCATGTGTCTTTCCATGGTTTCTTCGTGAAAAACTGAAGGTCCCTCTAGCAAGCTTTTCCCTGGAAAGCGCAAGCCCTGTCCGTCTTAAACCAAGCACAGGCACTCGTCCTTTTTCTCAGTCTTCAGCCAAAGTTCACGAAGTGCGGAAAACTACAAACGAATTCAGTCGTGAGACTAAAAGTGCTCCAGAACAGAGTTCCTACTCACTGCACACTCATTCAAAGTAGCGTATTGGGCAAAAACACACTCGTATGATTTCCTAGGGAAATCATCGAGACGAAAATCACAGAGGGTGGGATCAACGCGACTCCCACTCACTCCGAAGCAAAACAACTGTACAAGCTGATCTAAAACATGACAAAACACTCATGTATCAGCCTCGATCTTCCACCCCCCCGCATTTTGCTGAGGGCTCGTGTCAAAGATCCGAAGTCCAAGCACAGCCTGGCACTTCAACACTAAGGGGATGCCCTGGCCACATTCCCTTGGTGCGTACTCGCCACCAAAACGAAACAACACCACACTGTCAGATCTCTGACATCAAACTTAAACTCATGCAAATTCCCATCATAAGACGCGTTGTCCTGGGTCCGGTACTAGCGCGGTACCCAAGAGTTCGTAGTGAAAACACGTAACAAACGAACTCACGCAAGGCTTCAGAGTGTCAACCCCACTCTCAGTACTCAACCTCGACGTGGTCATACTCTTCAACCTCGCTTCCAGGAAAACAAGCTCACCAGCTAGCATCCGCTGGCAGAGCTCCTTCGATCCTTCAGCATCGCCTCGATTCGTATCCAGGGTGCTTCCAGCCAAAACTCGCTCGTTACGTAGAAAGCGTTGTGCGGGCTTTCCACCGTTTGAAAAACCAAACTCACATGCACTGACTCAAGGGCTCGCATAACCAGGAGAAACGCGGGCGTGCCATGGCGGCGCAGAAAGCCATGGCGATCCCAAAACGGCCGCAGGGGCTTTCACACCCTTTGAGGTCTCCAAGCACCTCACTCCTGATCTTCACCCTCTTTCGTTTCTTTCTTCTCTTCTGCTGCATCCACAACTTGCGATCGGCGCTCCTTCGCTGTCGCTTGCATCTCTTGCAGCTCACTCACCCGATCTTCCATTGGGCGATCTTTCGAAGATTCGCTCGGCTCACCGGCCTTGCTCTTCGTCGCTTCCTGCAAGACTTGCACCGCAGCTTTCCTTTCCAAATCACCCACACTCAGATCCGCTTTCACCCTCTCAGCGATCTGGGCAATCATCCCAGCATCGATCACTGGCGAAGCAACGGGCGAGATCGGGGACGCTCGTTCTGATGGCTCGTCTGACCTCTTGAGCCTCTTTGCAGCTTCCTCCTCAGCTGCAGTCAACTCTGCGATATGCTTCCGTTCTTCTTCAATCTCCGCATCACGCTTGCCAACTGCTGCAAGTACGGCTTGCTCCGTCATTGCTTCCAGAGTACAACACCTTCTGGGGTTCCTCAGCCAAGATCCTCCAAATCTGCTCCAGCATGTTGCTCGGGAGGGTCACCTTTCTCTCCAGCCACACTTTCCATCACAACCCTGTTGTTCGTGCAGGCAAAGAATGCCCACAGAGGCACAGGTCGCCCCCAGACACCAGGTTCAACACCCTCAGGACTCCCAGGTCCTGGTGGTCACTGACCAACAAGAGAGGCACGCAATCCTTCGTGTTCAAGTACCTCACGAAGCTGAGCATCGGCCCATAGGTTCTCGATGGGACCTCCACATACAACATCCTGCAGTGACCGCTGTCTCTCACAGGACTGCTTTTCCCCAACCTCTCCTTCTCAGCCAATTGTTGGGCTTTGGGCTCACAACTTCGCAAAGCTCTTCTAGTGCTTCCGCATGACCACCTGGTCGATGGACATTCCACGCTGCCGTCTTATCAGGCATTTTTCTCTGCTGTGGTTCTCCGGGAGTGGCTGCGTCCCACCTTTGGCTAAATCACCACTCTTACCTCTAGAGTCTTGAAAATTGGAAGTTCTTCCTCTGACCTTTCTTCCTTTTTGCTCAGAAAGAACACGTGTGAAGCATTGAAGTCCCACACCGTTGTCTGGTTCTTGCACTCGCACCGTGGTGTCTTTTTATCCGTCCATCCAATCCGTGAGTCACCAACAGGGCCATCATGCTCCCTTCCAGCTCCTGTTGAGTCTTCACATGCTGAGATCATCTCGTCGTTCTCAGTCCAAGGTGACCTCGACTAAGAGTCGCACGCTTCCATGTTCTCATCCATGCTGCACACATTCATCATTTAACTTTTGGCCGGACTTCAATGATAGAACCTTGTGTTGGCTGTTGAGGTTGTCGCAGAAATCCAGTGCAGAGCATGCGGAAGGGTTGTTGCAAAATGCAAGGGTTTGCCAAATCATTAAAATCACCATCATGAAGTTACTGGCAACGAAGGTCAGCACAGAAAGCTGTAAATCAAAGAAGCAAAGTCTGATGTTCGAAGTCAAAGTGTTTGATTTTAAACTTTTAGGCATAGATCACAGTGTCTTCTGCTCTCAGGACAGCAGAGTTACTAACCGACACGGTGCAGAAACCAGAGGCATAGCAGACCAGCACGCGCCCCATGTGGTAACCCAGAGAACTTATTAGCAAGAATGCAAGACCAGCTTAGAGCATCCTCAGGGCACTCCATGTCATGGTGTCAGCCAGTGGAGCAGCTCAGTACTGAGCGGGGAACACATAGATGTTTGGCGCTTTGGTTTTGGCGGGTTGCTGCGGGTTTTGGTGGTTGTGTTTTTGTGGTGGTTTTGGTGTGTGTTTGCTTTGGTTTTTGCACCTGCTCTGTTTCACCTCTAGTGTTGTGCATGCTTGTTTTTTTTTGAGAGTGAACAGCCGTCTGAAGGCTCTGCGCACCCACAGCGGCGAGAAGCATGTTTTACGGCTTGTTAAGGGTCAGCGTCCCAGCGATGAGCTTCCATGAGACCGAGATTCCCGAGAGATTCCCGAAGAACCAGGCCAGAAGCAAACCCCTTGTAGCCTTGCCATGGCTGACCTTAACTTCAAGTTAAGCGCTTGCAGCGGGCTCACGCGCATTACTATCTACCTCTTGGATCCAGTATTAACTAACTCTCTGGAATCCATCCCACCTGTCAGTCTTGCCCATGAATCCGCCCTTGAGACCCTAACTCTCATATCTTGGTCTAACCGTTCACACCCTTGGAATCTCCCATCTAAACCTTTAGGACCAAGTGTTGCACCTTAACCACTAGGATTACCAGGAATCTCTTGATAACCCACCCTCGGGACCCCAACCGCCTGTCTAACCTTCCGGAATCTCCTAAAAGCCCA